TCTTGCTTCTCTGCTGCATCCTCGCCTTTGTCACACCATCACGCCATCACGCCTTACGCCGTGAGAACTTGCTGGCTGCTTGTTGTGAAAAGAGGTTTGAAGTCCTTGAAAAGTCCTTCGAAAGTTTCTTGGACGTTTCTTGAAGTCCCTTAACTATCTGCTAGAGCTTCAGACATGAACATAACTTGAATGAATAAAATAACAGAGTCTTATGAGACAACACACACCTTGCGTTGTATACAGTTCCACAATGAACTTGAGTGCAGGGGAACTGCAAACAAGGAACGCTATTTCCGGGCAAACCCATACAATATGAACAATAAACTAATGCATATGTTGTTACGACATTTTTAGTAATTTACACCTGTTTCACATCAGATTTTAACACACTAATTTTAACCTGACATCAAATTAATTATTTATTTATTTGGGTATTTATTACATGAAATTATGATGTCACTTATGAATTATTTTTCACTGTATCATGAACTCAGAATTTATGTAACAGCACTTTCAAAGGGTAACTGTTTTTTTTCAACCTGGGCTCTATTTCCCCATGTTTTTGTGTCTGAGTGACTAATGGGAACAACAGTTTTTGAAATTGGTCCAGTATTGAATGAGAGGGCTGCAGCCAGCAGCTTCCAAATAGACATAACACACATCCACTGTAAGTGCTTTTTTTTGCCATTAACAGGCTCAGATTTTATTCTAAGTATCTCACCACATAATGAAAAGGACCATGCCGAGATAGACCCTGCGTCGTTAGAAACCAACGAAAAAAGGCCTCTTCGGCATGATACGCAGCTGGTTGCCGTTATAGTTTAATGGTGCCCAATGGGAAACATGGCAGGAGAAGGATGAAAGTTAAGGCGTCGACAGCCAGAGTGGGGTAGGTGGGAGGAGTGGTGGATGGGTCCAACAAATACCGACCTTCACCCAAGAGAGCGGTGTTCGCGTCCTGTAAATTTCTAAAGCCAAACACTGTTCTTTTTTCGTAAACCTAACCACATGTTTTTGTTGTCTAAACCTAATCATGTGTTTTTGTTGCCCAAACCTAACGACACGTTTTTGTTGCCCAAACCTGACCACATTTTGTTGGCTAAACTTTACTACGTCTTTTGTTGCCTAAACCTAACCATGTTTTTGTTGCCTAAAAACTAACCACGTTTTTGTTGACTAAACCTTACCACGTCTTTTGTTGCCTAAACCTGACCAGGTTTTGTTGGCTACACTTTACCACTTATTTTTGTCGCCCAAACCTTACCACGTTTTTGATGCCTAAACCTAACCACGTTTGTTTCTTTTGCCTTAACCCAACCATGTGTTTTTGTTGCCTAAACCTGACCACGGTTTGTTGGCTAAACTTTACCACGTGTTTTTGTTGCGTAAACCTGACCACATGTTTTGTTGGCTAAACTTTACCACGTGTTTTTGTCTCCTAAACCTAACCATGTTTTTGTTGCCTAAACCTTACCATGTGTTTTTGTCTCCTAAACCTTACCATGTTTTTGTTGCCTAAACCTTACCATGTGTTTTTGTCGCCTAAACCTTACCACGTTTTTGTCGCCTAAACCTTACCATGTGTTTTTGTTGCCTAAATCTAACCATGTTTTTTTTTTTTTTGCCTTAACCCAACCATGTGTTTTTGTTGCCTAAACCTAACCACGTTTTTTTTTTTTTTTTTGCCTTAACCCAACCACGTGTTTTTGTTGCCTAAACCTGACCACATGTTTTGTTGGCTAAACTTTACCACGTGTTTTTGTCTCTTAAACCTTACCACGTGTTTTTGTCGCTTAAACCTTACCACGTTTTTGTCGCCTAAACCTTACCATGTGTTTTTGTTGCCTAAATCTAACCACGTGTTTTTGTCACCTAAACCTAACCACATGTTGTTGTTTTTGCCTTAACCCAACCACGTGTTTTTGTCACCTAAACCTAACCACATGTTGTTGTTTTTGCCTTAACCCAACCACATGTTTTTGTTGCCTAAACCTGACCACATGTTTTCGGCTAAACTTTACCACATGTTTTTGTCTCCTAAACCTTAGCACGTTTTTGTTGCCTAAATCTTACCACGTGTTTTTGTCGCCTAAACATGACCACGTTTTTGTTGCCTAAACCTTACCATGTTTTTGTTGCCTAAACCTAACCACGTGTTTTTGTTGCCTAAACCTAACCATGTGTTTTTGTTGCCTAAACCTTACCACGTTTTTGTTGCCTAAACCCAACCATGGCAAAGTGTATCTTGAGAGAAGGCAATGCATGTAACAGGCAGAACTTGACACAGAGCTCCAGAACATCAACAGCCAACACACCCAAGGTACCTTGCACATCGGATGTGGATGTGGAAAGTCCATGACCAAAGCATCAATATGTGACGAGGTCGGAGTGAGAACATGTTGTTATCGACTATGTTACATGAAGACGTCCTCTGTGTGTCTTTACCTGTGATATGGTCACTCCAGTCTCAAGACAAATATTGTCCTGGTTTTTCTGTTTGTTCAAGTCATAACATATTTTCCCCCTGAAGGCTGCAGGGTTTGATTCCTCTGGAGACATCACACAAGCCTTTCCTGTTCATGTGTAAGAGGCAGAGTTCTCATACCAACAAAGGACACAGTGTTACTTTGAATTAAAAAACGGAGCAAAGCCAACACATGAGCCCTGACTGATTGTTGAGCGTGTAGATACTGTTGATGATGAAGAGGTGAACAGGCCACTATAATGAAAGGATGAAAGGTTTACATGCCAGACTAAAAAATTCTGAAACGTCTCAGCTACCAGAACATAGTCTAGATAGCCAACTAGTAATTTAGTAACATACAGTGCTAACTTTTGGGATTAAATATTCATTCTTGACTTTTAGTATCTTATAAAACAATGTAACCACTGCGTCCATGCTACCTTTTTCTGGTGCCACTGATCATACTGCATGTTATTCTTCAGCAGACGGAGGGACCCAGCTGTCATGAAATTTCCAATTTTTGTCACTTCTCGTCCACGTTGGCTTCAAAGTTTTAGATTTACAGTTCATTCTTGAGCTTGGAAATAGAAACTGACAAAACAAATCAACCAAAAGGTCCACTAAGTAGCTGTTCTGGAGCTTTGATCATGTCAGACGATCTTAATTGGCAGAAGTCATATTCAGATTTCAGTCAAGAATTACCTTCTCATCTCAAACTTTTATGCCAATATGAAGAAGTCCTTAAAGCGGCTATGATCAATATTTTTGTGATAAAATTGTATCAAATGACTATGAAAATGGAGTCACTCATAATGACTACAGAACTACAGAGAATTATCATCTGAATCTGCAGCTCCTCTCGGCCCTAGGAAGCTTTATAGTGAATTTTGACTCATTATTTATCTGTCTGGCTGCATCTTCACTTTTTTGGTTCACTCTCACTGCGTTGTTTTCAGAAAAAAAAAGCTGTGAAATCCCACTGTAAACTCCATGCTCATTACAACACAGCTGACAGACACAGTTAGAGACTTGCTGGTGAATTTAATGAAGCATCTAGCAGCTGAAGAGACAGATATTTCCCTCAGGAGTTTGTGAAAAAACCAAGGAGCATAAATTTTGGACCTACATTCCTCAGGTGGAACATAAACTGTTTAAGAAAATATACGCAGCTCCCATGGTGTCATCAACTGTTTTGAAGGCTCGAGTTCGGCATTTTGGCAGTCGCCATCTTGGTTTTTTGGAGCCAGAAGTGACCAGCTTTGGATGAGAGGGGTGGATCTGATCTGGCTCGCAGACAGCCTGTCACTCAGAGCAGCCCACCCTTATGTATGCCTAACTTCAAGCCTTAATAAACTGTAAATGTGTGGGTTGCATAAAAATCCATCCCCCATACAGTCGACATTAACAACCACACTAGCTAAAGAGACCAAAACTGTTTTCTGTACCAGGCTATAAAAAAGTTTACCTCTGCTGTAAAGTTGGACATTTTAACACGGGGGTCTATGGGGATTTACTTGCTCTTTGAGCCAGCCTCTAGTGGTCATCAGGGGAACTGCAGATTGTGTCTGTGTTGGATTTACTTTTCAGATCTGGAGGTTGCTGCTTGAGGTGGACACAAATACGACTCCAAATGAATGATGATTTGTGAAATAAACAAGTTTGTGTTATAAACCACAAGGTGATAATATGTAAGGGTTGTGTTGACTGGTTTCTGTTGCCACCAAATGGCCAAAAAAACAGAAATTTCAGATTTTAAGTGCCGAGAAATAAGGAAATTTGAACATCTATATTTCCATGACAACTGGGCAAACTATCTGCTGAGATGTGGTGCGGCTACTAAATAGACCTTGTGTGGTCTGACTGCTTATGTTCCTGACGATATGAAACTGATACCTGTTAAGAGCTGCTGAGGTCCTCAGTGTTGTGCTGATGGATGCAACGTCAATTAAATCAGCGAGCCTGTTGTCCATTAAAGACTGAAATGTGGCATCTGGAACCAAGATGGATCTTCAATCCTGCTTCATACATCCTCTTCCAGTAAACAGAGTACAACAGAATTTCTACTAAATTATGTCTACTAACTTTATGTCTTCACATGTAATGTTTTAACATTTCCTCCGACCTGGTGAAACTCTTTAAAGGTGCAGTCAGCAATTTTAATCCAATACACTTTTTGTCAAATTCAGTGAATATATCCTGAAGGTCTGCTAGCTGTCTGTTCTATGTGCACTGAAAAAAATCAGGTTTCTATACACAGCCCTGGCTCTATTCAGCCAATGAGCAACAAGGGTCATTTGTACTCGGGCACAGGACAAGGGAAAGGCCTTGGATGTATAAAGAGAAAGAGGGACAGTAAATTTAGCACACGCTAAAGTGAGCTGCGCAGTGCATTGTGCATGTTTCTCCAGAATTGCTGACTCCACCTTTAAGGTAGAAAAGAGATGACTTGACGCTACTGTCACAAAAAAGAGTTGGTCACAGCATTTATTTCCATTTTCTGACAAAACTCCACACAAAAACAAACTGGAGACCAAGCTGAAAAAAGAGAGATCCTTCTATTTTATTTCATTTTCTTTTTTTCTTTTTTTTTGCTGCTGTTTCGCAAGTTAAGGTACAGTGCCTTATTCCATATTTCCACTGATTTATTTAAATAATGAAATCGGAGAGAAATCTCTTTTTCCGAGGACACAGAAAGATTGTATTTTTTTTTTACGGGTGAGGTTGGGTTGGGGGCACGGGCAGGGGCGGGTGGGAGGGTGGGAGAGTCAGAGAGTCAGAGGTGGTGAAAGTGGGTGGAAGTTTACAAGGACGGAGGGTTTGCACGGTGTTCACAAACAGACAGACAAACAGGGACAGATAGACAGGCAAGGGTGGGGGGGGGGTAAAGGAGGAGTGTGAGAGAGAAAGAAGAGAGGAAGGAGAGAGAGAGACAGTGTGCTTTGTCATGTCCAAATGAAAACAAGCAGCTCTCAGACCCACTCCGAATTTAAAAAAAAAAAAGAAAACATAAAATTTATACGAACAATTTTGTTTTTTAAAAAACACCCAGTCGTCTATTAAAAAACAACAACAACACAAGCAGAAAATAACACATGGGGAGGAGGAGGAGGGAAGGAGGGAGGGAAGGAGTCAGAGGAAGTGACAATTTTTCCACCCTGTTGAGGGCGTGAGTGAGTGCTGAAGTTTTATGGTGAGACTGATTCTTTATTGATGGTGGAGGAGGAACAGGAGGGGCGAGAACGGCAGTAGAAGATTGGCAGTGAGTACATAGAAATAGAAAGAGAAAAAAAGGAGGGTAGGAAGTTGGCGAATGGCAGGAAATGGCAGTGATTAAGGAGCTGGATCGGGGTGGCTTATCTCTGGCAAGAAAAAACAAAAAAAGACGCCACCGACCCGCTCAGATCGCCAGTTGGGAGCCTAGACAGGAGCTGCCATGTTGTTATTCTGCTTGGCAAGAGTGATCGCAGTGGAACAGTCAGAATTTTGTCTTTATTCTTGCAACTGTATTCTTTATTCAGTTCTACACAGCGGTGTAGTTTGAGTACACATATGAAGAGTGGCTGCAGTTAACAGTGCAGTAAGAAGCATCGGCACAACAGTGTTACTGGCAGACTAGTGCTGTATAGACTTTGGATAGAAAAAAAAGGGACAGAGGGACAGAGAGGACAGGGAAGATTCACAAACCCACCTCCTCCCCCATCCTCTCCTCCTCTGTCGTTGGTCCTTGCGTTGTCTTGGCGCTTGATTTTTTGTTTCTTTAGGGGATGAGGATGGAGAGGAGGAGGAGGAGGAGGAAAGGGGAAGAGTAAACATTTTCTTGAACAGTTTGAGTATGTTGACAGGGGAGAAGGGATGGATGGAGGGGAAGGAGGAGAGAGTAAGAGAGAGGGAGATAGAGAAGAAGGGATGAGTTCAGGGGAGAATGGGGTGAGAAGTAAATGATGCTTTGATAATTTAATAGTATGTCTCTTTCTCCACCCAGCCTGTAGAGATGAAGAGGAGAGGAAAAGAGGGAAACAAGAAAAAGAGAAAGAGAGAGGAGTTACCTTTTAAATTTGACTGACATTAAGACAAAATATTAATTACAAGGATAAGGTCCTGGATGATGATATCCTTCAAACTGTCTGTGGTTGTATTAAAAATATAAGTGATTCATCTATGACCTTTGTCGTGACGAATATCGTTAATTTCTTCTTTTGTTTTTTACCGTTTAAATCCATACCAGCGAGAAATTAAAATCTGTATAATGTTATTATAATGTCATAATCATCTGCTACAATTGTGTATATATATGTGTACTGCATTTTAGTGGCAGCCTGATGAGGTGAATAACACTATTTTGGGCAACTTTCAAAAGTGCGTACTGTTCAAAAAACATTTAATTTTTAGTTTGTTCAGTGCACCTCTGAATGAACCTACTGTGCAGCTGAAATACTACATGTATACAAGTGTGAGTGTGCATGTGATCTTACCTCCAGGATTTCGGCGAAGGATGAGTTTTCGGATCTCATCATAAACAAAGATGAGGAAACTGTACGGGAACGCACAGAACCACCAACTGGGCCTGAGAGAGAAGGGAGGGAATGATGGAGAATAAGAGCAGTGCCCAGGTCAAAACTGGGAGACAGTGATAAAGAACAAAGTACGAGGGCTGAATGATTCATTGAATTCAAATTGACATCGACATGCAATAGAAAGCCGTTTTCAAATCGCAAAAGCTAACCAGCCAGAGTCAGAAACATGTGGCCTTTGCCCTTTACATGCCTGTAGAGTATGGGGCTGCATGTGCCCAATGCTCGAAGGGTCATATGAGAAGGAGAGAAGACGAGGAAAACAACTGTACTATGCTACGCACAAGCTTTAGGGACTTTAGATTAATGAACTGTGATGATGTGTTACTTACTTGAGTGGGTACATCCGTAGTGCCAGGTCCATGCCAGGGCAATAGGACAGGAAGGCAGCCAGAGCTGTTTCCTCAAACAGGCCAAAGATCAAAATCTTATTCCTGTGAGACAATGAGTGCAGAGAGAAGAGAGTTAATCACAGTACACAGGTAGTAGAGAGACGAGGGATGACGGTAGACAAAGAAAGCAAAGTAACAGATCTGCAGATAGTGAGGAAATGCTAAATAAAAGATCGTGAGGGGAGGAATGAACATCCCCTGCCACTGAGAAGACTTTAAGGGTCAGTGGACTGTACCAGTTACTATCTAAACCTACTTTTGGATCACAGAATGGTTTCAAAGTAGATTCCCTGCAGGCAGAATTTGAGGACAGCTGTACAGTGGCAGCACCAGTTTCTGAATTTGTGTGCCTGGACTATAAGTGCTGCCAGCAGAACAGAGCAGCAAAGGGAGAGGACAGATGGGGTAAGAGAACCAGACAAGATGGAGGGAAAGAGGGAAACACAGAAACATATGCCATAAACTGGGGCTATAAATTAAAGGTGAGTCAGTAAAACATGGCTCTCTATTGACATCTAGTGGCAGCTGTGGGAAACTGCAAGAACAAAAGCAATGCCTAGTCGCCTCCAAAATCCTCATTCTTCTTTCTCTTGAGATTAAATCGATTAAATAGATTTTTTAACCCACTCACAGTGATTTTTTTTTGACTCACTTCATGCCCTGCTGGAACACAGAGTTACGTCTGGTCTTGCAGATGATGACATCTGCCCACTGCACCACCACAATACTGACGAAGAAGGCTGTATGGCAAGTGAACTCCACAATCTTACGCTGCTCATAGGTCTGTAATGAGAGACAGGAAGAGGCTCAACACATTTTTTGGAATTATTCAAAGATTACTGTCATTTAATTAATGGTGAAGAAATTATTTGGAAGCTTTGTCTGACACTTTCATCCTTCAACCATGCAGAGTAGTACAGCAGCACTAATAAACCTCACTCGCAGCCATGTAGATTCTGACCAATTAGAAGATGCCTTACAGTGTGGGCTCTGTCTGCGCTACTTTGTATGAGTAACCCGATATAATATCTCAACACTATCTCACATTTTCCATCAGGAAACTGAAACAGAGCGCCTCCGTACATGTGAACATAACCGAAGCAGGAGATGACTGATATAGTGTCAGCCCACTCATACCCATTGCTGCCCGTAGCTGTCCTCCAGGTCGTTGGTGGAGCGGTCGTCCCAGTTGAGCCGGATACCAACAAGCTGAGATGGCAGGAAACCATTTTCAGCCATGATGACGAAATAGGCGAAGAATCCACCAAGAGCTTGGATCATACCTGCAGACACAGACACATTGAACAGGTTTACCTGACAGTGTAGAATCACATACCCCCATAATATTTAGAGATCATTATAATGTGATAATACACTTCAGAAAAACTGCAGAAATATCTTTGGGTTACCATCTAGGTATGATGCAGTGTGTCATATGTAAAACCACATTTGTGCATTGGGACAGATTTGGGGCCAAAAAAGGCGACTGAACTTTCTGCCATGGTCTAACATGTCTATAACAATTACACTTCTATCTAAAAATGAAAGTACTGATGAATTATTGCTGAGACACACATCACCTTTCAACAGTGTAAGCTGAACTAACACAGGACATACCAATCTGTCCATAGGCGATGCTGATGAGTCTCTCGTTGACCAGTTTGTCCCTCAGTGGGTTTCTAGGCTGGCGCTTCATGATGTCGCTCTCGGCTGCTTCATAGGCAAGAGAGATGGCTGGTACCTGATGGAGGAGATAGCGAGAGGCATTGTTATTTATGGGTGTATTTTACTTTGGTTTATTTCAACAGGCAACACTTTCCAAGCATGAAAAACTGGACTGGTCCCATACTGCCACCTAGTGTCCTTTTGGTGTACATGCCTTTCAGGCACAACCTTAACCTTAACTTCAGAGCTATCTTTAATTTATTGTGATGCTCAATGATATCAAGTGGTATGCCCATTTATGATGGAGGTGCCAGGTAATAAATGTGTTTAATGGGGGCTTCTGTTACAGTTCATGTCTATCCAGTCTGAGGGTTAATAGTGAATGAGTATTTGTTGAAGTTTGCTATGTGGACAAGCACAGAAATAAACCCCACCACCTTCCACAATTTCCTTTCCTCATGCAGTGTTTAAACAGCCAGTGTACAGCATCACTGGTTCTGTTTCATTAAAATCACCACAAATAGTATTCACAATCTTGTTCTTTCAAATTCTAAATATTCCCAGATTTCATTCCTCCAATTCATGTTATGAAGCCCAGCTTAAGCTCAATCAGAAAGACTGTGTTACATTCCTAACTGACTCTCACCCCCCCCTCATACTCTTTTAGTTCAACCAACCAGATTTTGCTGCCATATCTTTGCTGTCAAACTTTAAATCTGTTTCCACTCTCTCTTGCTGTCAGCTGTCTTTTCAGTGGAATCCATCATGACTGTCCTCCATGCCATTCACTTCCAGTTCATCATTTCAAGCACCCAGGCCTGAGCTCACCAGAAGCTTACTCCTCTTCTCATCCATCTAGATCTCAGCATCCTCTTCATTCATCACCACCACCATCAGCGTCTAAACTCCACTGGGGGGTATCCTACACTATTCACAGCTTCTCTGCCCCCATTGATAATATGATGACACTGCGATGAGCTTTGCCAAAGACTTTTCTCATTTATCACCGCTATTGTGCACATGTTGATAAATGATTGTTCACTCTCCTGATTGAAATGTTATTTATGCAGCAAAATTCTTGCGGCTGAACACCTGTGTGTTGCCCTGATGATAATTACCAGGAATTTCTGTGTGTATTTTGCCACCTGAGTACCTGTCTGACACGTGCAGTTCACATGTGTACAGCTGAGCTTTACTGTCCATGCATGAGTGTTCAAAGATAAAGCATGTACAAGAGCTGAGTGTATCAGGCCACCTGTGATGGTAAAGTGGGTTCACACACTGGCTTCTGCATTTGTTTTGCCTGACTGGACATAAACACATTGGAGCTGTATGATACAATGTGTGAGTGTCTCACTGGTTATGTTCGTATGTTGTTGTGTCCCTTACCATGTCAGTTCCCAGGTCGATGCAGAGGATAGTGATGGTGCCCAGAGGCAGTGGGATGTTGACCAAGATGAAGAACAGGAAGGGGGTGATCTCTGGGATGTTGCTGGTCAGAGTGTATGCGATGGACTTTTTCAGGTTGTCAAAGATCAGACGGCCTGTCAGAATGAAGGCGATGTATAAATAATTAGAAACTGAATGGAGGAAACCCTTAAATAAGAAAGATGATGGAAATATTACTTAATGTGAAGTCAACCTCACACCTAAGTCAACACTGCTAGCTTTTAAATACAAGAAACAGTGATATTAACTCATTAATGTAGCATTCATAAATGAGGAAAACGTACAGTGTACAGTGCCTTACAATAAAATACTGGCTAATACGTTATAGACTATTCTTGCCATTAAATCTTATATTTTGTCACCTTTTTTCACTGTACCCTCTATTATTCACCTCCTCTCTGCAGCCCTTTTTTCTCACACTCTCTCCGACTGTCCCGCCTCTTGTTTATCCCTCACCTTCTTCTACTCCAGTGACAATGGAGGCAAAGTTGTCATCCAGCAGGATCATGTCTGCAGCCTGTTTGGACACATCTGAGCCGGAGATTCCCATGGCAACGCCGATGTCAGCCTTCTTCAGGGCAGGAGAGTCATTCACACCATCGCCTGTCACAGCCACGATGGCACCCTGACACATTCACAGTTTGCATTATGATTCTTTTTCTTATTACATCCACTTGTTTGCAGGTGCATATGAACATTTACCTGCATGTGCAGGTATTTGAATGTGTGTAGGGACATTAAGTGTACCTGTCTCTGGCAGCCTTCTACAATGATAAGTTTCTGCTGTGGGGAGGTTCTGGCAAAGACGATCTCTGTGTGGTTCCTCAAAATGTCATCCATCTGCTCCTGACTAAGATCTTTCAGATCTGTACCGTGGATCACACAGGCCTTGGCATCCCTGCACAACACAGTTAAAGCAAAACACTCATGTACACTTTTGTATAGCAAATCATAAGAGCTACTGTCATATAAAGGCTCTGCAAAATATAATCTACTGTATACAATGATTGTAACAGTCTCATTTCTATCCCAACTTTAAAATTTCAGTTTCTGTCTAACCTTGGGTTGACCTGGCTCACAGGGATGTTGAGGCGTGCAGCAATGTCTTCTACTGTCTCGTTGCCCTCAGAGATGATGCCCACACCCTTAGCAATGGCCTTGGCTGTGATTGGGTGGTCACCAGTCACCATAATAACCTGAAATATCGGAGGAGGAAGATGAAAAGGTAGGTGATGAAAGGGAAGGAGAAAAGACAAAATTTAGAAACAAATAAGAGGAGACAACACCAACAGGTGCATGTAGAACAGCAGGGATAGGATGTGAAAGGAGGTAGAGGGAGTGCATGTGCAAAATGAATTCACCACATTCTATGAAATCAGCTAAAGATGTGCGTGACAGTCACCCACAGCCTTCACATCCAGGTGGGTGTTATGTTCTGTTTTGCAGGACTTTAAATGGCAGACTCAAAAGGTGCCCACCTTGATGCCAGCAGAGCGGCACTTGCCCACGGCATCAGGCACAGCAGCACGGGGAGGGTCAATCATGGACATGAGACCTACGAAGCAAAGGTTGTCTGTCTGGAAGTTGACATCATCGGTGTCGAAGGCAAAACCTTTGGGATACTTGTCCTCTGGCATGAACATGTGGCAGAAACCTGGAGGAATCAGGGACAAATGATGTGAATTCTACGAAATTTCTTGAGCTGTACAAACAGCTCCACACCGTACAGTTATTTGCAGGATATATCAAAACTTTCTTGCTATGTTCTTATTCCAAATCACAACCTTTTGATAAATGACCACCGTTTTCCTATCTTCTCTCATTCTTACCCAGTACTCTCTCTCCCAGTCCTCCCAGTTCCAGATAGGCGTTCTGGAAAGCCTCTTTCATCTCATCGTCCATGGGCTGCTCCTTGCCCTGCACCATGATGGTGGAGCAGCGGTCGAGGATTCTCTCTGGAGCTCCCTTCATCACCAACAGGTAGCGGTTGTCATTTTCATCCTCAACTTCGTGAATTGAGAGCTGATGGAAACAGATGTTAGTGTTAGCAGTAGAACCATTTAAGAAGTTTGTTGTGTTTCTGCATGTTAACTAGAAATCTTTGTCGATCATCTGCATCAGTTGTTAGGTGCATGAGTAATCAAAGGGGACAAACCTGGTACTTGTTGGTGGAGTTAAAGGGGATCTCAGCCACCTTCTTGTTCTTGTCCCTCATGGCTTTGACGGCACCACAGGACAGCTCAATACACTTAAGCAGGGCTGACTCAGAGGCGTCACCGGCCACCTCGCGCTTAAGAATGGGCAAAGATTCCTGGCCAGCCTTAAACACAGCACGGTTGCACAGAGCAGCAATGCGGGCCAAAGACACCCATGTTGTAGAGCTTTTGTCAAAGGAGGAGCCTGGAGAATGATCAGAAAAGAAGGAACATTTATTGACAGGTGTCTCATCCTCTGCATTCACCCTAATCTTCAAAAGAGATTTTCAACAAGGAAGAGTTCTGATTTGTATTTGTTGTCCGAATAGTATTGACCAATCTTGTTTTAGTGGCAGGTAAACAGTCCATGTGGAGAGCAAAAGAGGTGGAAAGCACTGGCTAAAATACAATCTTGGAACCCATTCTCTGTCATCTGATGACAATTGAGCTTTGTCTTAGCTTTGTTTTAACCAGTTTATCTGTATTCATATGTTTTTGGAAATTAGCTGAAATGTTATCTGTGCCTGTCTCACATTGCTGATTGAACTGTAAACAATGATTGGTGCATGAAAGAGTAAATCTTGGCTGGGATATCTACCAGCTACACTGAAACTCCAAAACTACAGGCCATTGCCCCCAGAGGCTTTGTTGTTGTCAGAATGATAGCTGGTTCCACGACTGCATTTACCCAAGCGGGGCAGCCATCTCCTTGTCCCACCTCAACTACTCCCAGGCACTGTGCCGTTTACGACACATGTTCCAGAAATTCTCAATATGCAGGCAGGTTAACACTTGGTTCACACGGTTTAAGCTGCGCCTTAAAAACTGCCACTTGTTTGTCTCCTTCTCTGGTGCTGTAGAAAGTATAGTGCAGCAAGAGAGGACTCAGAGAACAAAAGATTCCGACTAGAGTCTGGACTTAAAAGCTTTTTACACATCAGGGCTGTACACTGTGGATTTTTTTTCGCTGTCTGTACGGCCCTAATATGTAAATGAAGCATTCAAAATCCAGACTCTAGACTGAATCTCTTTTGTCCTCTCTGTGCGAGTCCTCCCTTGCTGCACAGTAATAACGCTGCCATAAAGAAACTAAGGTCATGATATTCTTGATATCTGGAGGGGAGATTTGATTCGGCCGCATGAAAGAAGGAGGAAGAGGGGAAAATCTCACCAGACTGGTCCTCGGTGGTGTCGGCCTCGTGAATCTGGTTGTCGAACCACATGTGTGCCACGGTCATCCTGTTCTGGGTCAGAGTGCCCGTCTTGTCAGAGCAGATGGTGGAGGTGGAGCCCAGAGTTTCCACAGCCTCCAAGTTCTTTACCAGGCAGTTCTTACGAGCCATTCGCTTAGCAGTCAGTGTCAGACACACCTGAGAGAGAAGAGGCCAAAGAGACAAGACAAAAAGAGAGGAGTGGCAGAGAGGACATAATAGCAAGGAGAGAAGGAAAGACAGGAGAAAAGGAGTTGTTGACAACAGAATAAGACAAAAGGAGAGAATAGAAACAAACCAAAGGAGACAGAGAAAAATATAATTAGTATCTATGTGGTGAAATAACAGCACAGATGAACATCTCCAGGTGCTAAAATGACTTCTGCCAATGAGCAGCCACATCAGTGCCTATTGTACCTAAAGCAACCTGACACCTGGAGACGTTCATCCTGCTCATAACAATGCTCCTATATGGCAAAATGCACTAAAATCAAAACCTGTTTCCAAAAATAAAAACAGCCAAAACAGCGATGCAGAGAGAAAATGAAGCATGAACAAGTGAAGCGGTGAAGCAGAGCAGCGGTGCATTATGTCATCATGCCAAGTACGGCAAGACCCATGGGCCAAACAGAACTAGCCAAGGCCAAGCAGAGGAGGCCGAATTCAGTTTATGAAGCTGACTAGTCATTAGCCTAATATCATTACATTAGCTAGCTGTTGTCATTGCAGACAGCACCACGACTGGCCTGGAAAAGAGAGAGAGACATACAAAGAGAAGGATGGAGAGAGAGAACACAAACACATATGGGGCTGCTTTGGGAGAGAGACAGAAGAGAGAGAGATGGAAAGAGAAATATACAAACAGAGACAATACACCACTTTCACCACAGTAACAGGTACTAACACAGTGAGAATGCTAAAGCACACACAATACAAAGATACACACAGAGATGCACACAGGCATACAGCAACATTACAACACACTGAAAAAACAACAACAACACAGGCACAGAGATATGAGAAGCGGGGACAAAATCAATCAGCAGACATGACAAGACAACATCAGCCTGAACATAATCAGACATGGGTGAAACTCCAAACTGCTTGGGGAATCTAGTAATGTAGTCTAGGAGTGCAAAGGAATTCTCTCAGTCACAAAATATACAGTACACTATTGTTTGGACAGAAAAGTAGTATTCTTAAAAAAGACATTTCATGGCAACAACAATTTTATAAACATTTTAAAAGCTGTTACTGTTTTCCCTGACTTTGTGTAGCTTTTTAGATTTCTCTAATATATGAAATATATGACATAAATGAAAATAATGTTTGCGCAGAACACTGGGAAATCAGTAGGAAACAAAAAACACACAAGGACTGCGAAGAGAAACAGATGAGAAAAACAGCTACAACAGAGGGAATCATACAGCTATCCAATGGACAACACACATGGTAGAAATGCTGAGGGTGCTTTCACATGTAACCTGTTCAGTTCGGTTAAAATAATCACAGGTCGTCGCCTGGTTTGTACCATTCACTTAGGCTGGTGTGGAGGCTGTCAATCAAACCAAGTGTGCTTGAAAAGGTGGCTCCGTGTCTGCTGTTTTTTATTTGCGGTGTGAAAGCAAACGAAACAACCACAAGATTTTATGACAACAGATGTGTGATTTTTGCATGATTGATCCATCTACTGATCATGAAATCTGCTCAGGAAGCAATCTTATCATTGATCCTTACAAAGCCCATAAAGGTTCCGATCATAGCAAAAAGGGCAAAGTCTCTGCAGATACAGACACCACTACACACTTCTAGTGGGTCAAAGTGACAATTGACAAAGATTACTTTTGTATGAGTCTATATATCCTCTTTTTTTGGGAAAATCCTGCATAGTATATTAAATAGGGGTGTAACGATCCTTTGATCCTTCGTCGATCTGGATGGATATATTGATTCAATGATCAATTATCCAATATCATCGATGCAAAATGAAAAAAATCGATCCATGTTGTCATTTTTAGGTCACGCCTTTATTTTGAAGTTCTGTGTCACCGTGCAACAGCAGCCAGGAGAAAAACAATGAGGATGGCTACTTCCTCGTGAATACATCAGCAGTGTGGAAATACTTTCGGTTATTGAGAAAATGCAGGTCAACAGATGAAGCACATGCCGTATGTAAACAATTTTGTTACCAGATGTAACAAATGTACTTGCTACCACTCCACTAACTTCTCACTCTCACAACATCACCTGCCCTGTTTCAACAATGTTCAATTGAATAAATGTGTTTGCAGGCTGAAATTCAACTGAAAAATAATGACGTTATATGGAATTTGTTAAGCTGTGAGTAGAGGGAAAAAAGTCCATGTTAATGATGCAGGAGACAACCGGCAAAACTGTCCAATCAGCAGGCTACCTCTCAGTCTGTATAACCTCATGTTTACTCCTCTTGGAGAGTTTATAAAAAGTCACTGTGAACAGGAACCAGACCAGAA